ATGCTGGCCACATGACCACGGAAACGTCTTTGGACAGCGCTGGCTCTTAGGCTTTGAAACGGAGATGAGCATCGCAACCCTAGAGTCAGATTCGACTGGCTTTCGAGCAAGGGAAGCTTTTTAAGGTGCTACTGGACTCTTGCTCTTTTCAACTACATTAAATGATGGAAAGATTACATAGTAGGAGCCTGCTTAACAGCAAGCTGTATCCAGCAGTAGAGACCGCAGTCCCTAATCGTCCCATCCAAGTAATTTTGTGAACCATTTTGTACAGTGCAACCCTGTTACTTGTGTAGAAAAGTTCTCTTGAATAATTCAGTTTTCCATAGTTTGTGGAAAGCCAGAGGATGCTATTCCAGGCAGGCCATTCCACAAGGCGAGGGCCGTAGCGGCGAAAGCACATGTGTACAGGTGGGCCAAGTCCAGAAGGTGTTTAAAGCATATAAGACTCCACTTTGGGCAGCTCCGTAAGAAGCATTTCTTATCTTCTGCCATGGAAGATTCCATGCAAATGCCGCCCTTAATCGTTTTGGGACTGTGTTTTTTGCTTCTTCCTGTTCACACTGGCACTGGTTATCTCTCTGACTGTTTCAAGTGTCGCGTCTCTTACTGGCCCAAGATCTATTAATCCTGTAGCGGCTGCCTGGATATTACTGTTTAATGACTCAAGTGTCTTCACAACAAGACAGAGAATGACGATTATTTTCTCCAAACAGCTTCGCTGTGTAAATTCATCCCATCTTGGGTGATCCTTTCCAAATTTTAGAAGCCTATCCAAGGACCGGTCTTTAGAAAGCCAGGGGGTCTCCCAGGCCGGTCTACTTTCAGGCAGACCTTCTTTTCAGGTAATTACCAGCGCAGTCCTCAGCAGAGTTATGCCCTTCTAAAGACTGCACTGGTTGTAAAGCAATAAATATGTCAAAATGATACAGAGACTGACATATTTCTTGGTTTATAACTGATGTCCTTATAACCTTAGCTTGTGTAGTGGTTAAGTGCCTGGACTCTAATCTGGGAGAACCGGGTTTGATTCCCCACTCCTCCACTTACAGCTGCTGGTGTTACCTTAGGTCAGTCACAAGTTCTCTCAGAGCTGTTCTTTCACAAGCAGTCCTCGAGAGAGCTCCCTCAGCCCCACCTACCTCACAGGGTGTCTGTTGTGGGGAGGAGACGAGAAAGGAGTTTCTAAGCCGCCCTGAGACTCTGAGTTAAGGGCGGGGTATAAATCCAATCTCTTCTTCTTGTTGTTGTTATTTAGTTGGTCTTTGCATATCTTAAAACATCTTCATCATGCTACACGTTAATTTGCTGTTCAGCCGCTGTCTGTAAGTTTGAACCTTATCTTCCATTCCAGTGTATTTGACAATGTGTGCTTTGCACACGAAAGCTCATACTTTGAGTACAACTTTGTTGGTCTTAAAGGTGCCACTGGACTCTAAATGTGTTCTACTTCTTCAAAGTGTGCATGCGCACGAAAGCTGAAACTCAGAATAAAACTTGGAGGGCCTTAAAGTTGGCACCGGACTCACACTTTGTTCTGCTGCCTTGAAGACCAACAAAGGTTTATTCAAGGTATGAACTTTCATAGGCAGGTACACTTTATCAAATACACTTAGAATGGCAAAAAGGTTTAAACGTAAAGCCAGCAAATTAATATGCAACATGATGATGATCAAGTTATGCAAAGTGACACCAAGTAACAAGTTAAGGTTATAAGGTCACTGGTTGTAAAGCAATAAATATGTCAAAACGAGACAGAGACTGACATATTTATTGGTCTATAACTGATGACCTTATAACCTTAGCTTGTTTGGTGTCGTGGTTAAGTGCCTGGACTCTAATCTGGGAGAACCGGGTTTGATTCCCCATTCCTCCACTTACAGCTGCTGGTGTGACCTTGGGTCAGTCACAAGTTCTCTCAGAGCTGTTCTTTCACAAGCAGTCCTCGAGAGAGCTCCCTCAGCCCCACCTACCTCACAGGGTGTCTG